CTCTGTCTGTCTGTGTGTGTCTCCCTCTGCCTGTCTGTGTGTGTGTCGGTGTGTGTCCTCTCTGCCTGTCTCTGTGTGTGTGTGTGTGTGTCTCCCTCTGCCTTTATGCGTGTGCCTGTGTGTGTCCCCTCTGTCTGTCTGTGTGTGTATGTGTGTCTCTCCCTCTGCCTGCCTGTGTGTCTGTGTATGTCTGTCAGTGCCCCTGTCTGCCTGTCTGTGTGTGTGTCTCCCTCTGCCTTTATGTGTGTGTCCCCTCTGTCTGTCTGTGTGTGTCTGTGTGTCTCTCCCTCTGCCTGAATGTGTGTCTGTGTGTGTCTGTCTGTGCCCCTCTGCCTGTCTATGTGTGTGTCTGTGTGTGTGTGTCCCCTCTGCCTGTTTTAGTGTGTGTCTGTCTGTGTGTGTCTCCCTCTGCCTGTCTGTGTCTGTCTGTCTGTCTGTCTGTGTGTGTCTCCCTCTGCCTGTCTTAGTGTGTGTCTGTCTGTGTTTGTCTCCCTCGGCCTGTCTGTGTGTGTGTGTGTACCCCTCTGCCTTTCTGTGAGTGTGTGTGTGTGTCTATGTGTGTCTCTCTCTGCCTTTCTCTGTGTGTCTCCCTCTGCCTCTGTGTGTGCGTGTCTGTCTGTGCCCCTCTGCCTGTCTCTGTTTGTGTCTGTCTGTGTGTCTCCCTCTGCCTGTGTGTGTGTGTGTCTGTCTGTGTGTCTCCCTCTGCCTGTGTGTAAGTCTCCCTCTGCCTTTCTGTGTGTGTCTATGTGTGTATCCCTCTTCCTGTCTGTGTGTGTGTCTCCCTCTGCCTGTCTGTGTGTGTCTGTGTGTCTGTATGTGTCTCCCTCTGCCATTCTGTGTGTGTGCGTCTGTCTGTGAGTGTCTCCCTCTGCCTGTCTGTGTGTGTCTCCCTCTACCTGTCTCTGTGTGTGTGTGTGTCTGTTTCTGTGTCTTCTGTTTCTCTCTGTATGTCTGTCTGTCTGCGTGTGTCTCTTTCTCTCTCTCTGTGTGTGTGTGTGTGTGTGTGTGTGTGTGTGTGTGTGTGTGTTAGGGTTAAGGTGACATTCGTATATGTCAAGAAACGGCAGGTACATACGCGATTCACGACAGCCGCAACATGTCTTTCACTAGACGTACCTGATATCAAGCTCCCTGCATTGAATCCAAACTAATCATCCCCGCTATGTGGCCCAGATTAAGTTGAACATGTTTCTGCGTATGACATCCTGCTTTGTGTAGTGCGGCCATATATCATGTATCCCCTAACACCAGCACGTATGACATCCTGCTTTGTGTAGTGCGGCCATATATCATGTATCCCCTAACACCAGCACGTATGACATCCTGCTTTGTGTAGTGCGGCCATATATCATGTATCCCCTAACACCAGCACGTATGACATCCTGCTTTGTGTAGTGCGGCCATATATCATGTATCCCCTAACACCAGCACGTATGACATCCTGCTTTGTGTAGTGCGGCCATATATCATGTATCCCCTAACACCAGCACGTATGACATCCTGCTTTGTGTAGTGCGGCCATATATCATGTATCCCCTAACACCAGCACGTATGACATCCTGCTTTGTGTAGTGCGGCCATATATCATGTATCCCCTAACCACCAGCATCCTGCGTATGCGGCCATATACATCCTGCTTTGTGTAGTGCGGCCATATATCATGTATCCCCTAACACCAGCACGTATGACATCCTGCTTTGTGTAGTGCGGCCATATATCATGTATCCCCTAACACCATGCTAACACCAGCACGTATGACATCCTGCTTTGTGTAGTGCGGCCATATATCATGTATCCCCTAACACCAGCACGTATGACATCCTGCTTTGTGTAGTGCGGCCATATATCATGTATCCCCTAACACCAGACATCCTGCTTTGTGTAGTGCGGCCATATATCATGTATGACATCCTGCTTTGTGTAGTGCGGCCATATATCATGTATCCCCTAACACCAGCACGTATGACATCCTGCTTTGTGTAGTGCGGCCATATATCATGTTTCCCCTAACACCAGCACGTATGACATCCTGCTTTGTGTAGTGCGGCCATATATCATGACATATGACACTGCTTTGTGTAGCGGCCATATATCATGTTTCCCCTAACACCAGCACGTATGACATCCTGCTTTGTGTAGTGCGGCCATATATCATGTATCCCCTAACACCAGCACGTATGACATCCTGCTTTGTGTAGTGCGGCCATATATCATGTATCCCCTAACACCAGCACGTATGACATCCTGCTTTGTGTAGTGCGGCCATATATCATGTATCCCCTAACACCAGCACGTATGACATCCTGCTTTGTGTAGTGCGGCCATATATCATGTATCCCCTAACACCAGCACGTATGACATCCTGCTTTGTGTAGTGCGGCCATATATCATGTATCCCCTAACACCAGCACGTATGACATCCTGCTTTGTGTAGTGCGGCCATATATCATGTATCCCCTAACACCAGCACGTATTACATCCAGCTTTGTGTAGTGCGGCCATATATCATGTATCCCCTAACACCAGCACGTATGACATCCTGCTTTGTGTAGTGCGGCCATATATCATGTATCCCCTAACACCAGCACGTATTACATCCAGCTTTGTGTAGTGCGGCCATATATCATGTATCCCCTAACACCAGCACGTGACGCCCTCAATCATCCAATTGTCTGGCCACCACTCGACTGTTTGCAGCCAACAGGTTTTCTATCTATCTATCTATTTATCTATCGACCTAGATATATATTTTTCTCCAATATTTGCATTTATGGCAAGTATTGTGACGACGTAAGGTCGGATAAGTACACCAATAAGAAGGGATAAGAGTATTTACCACACGGTGTCTGGAGACCCGGCCCTCTCCCGCACTGTGATAGTGTGTCGTCTCGCAGTTGTATCTCAATAGACTGACACGTTACAGATATAGCACAGACTCATGAGTGAGCCACTTCCTTGTTTCTATATCTGGCGGTTTCCGAATTGGTTGGAACATATCACTACATGTCAACACTGCTCTCTCGGGGAAGTGTTCCTACTCATTAACCAAAAAACCTTATCATGTGATGATGAATTATGACTATTTTAAAGTGCAACAAATATAATTATTATGAAGTGTAGTGGCAATAACGAGGCGGATCCTGCATTTTGGACAATGTGTGTATGTGCGTGCGCGCGAACGTGCACGATACATATATCATGAAGTCCAAAGGTTAGTTCGAAATGCTCTCAAGGGACATTTTTTCGGCTGAGTACCCCCTCCACCCCCGCAAGCACGCACACACACACACACACATCCCTGTGGATCCGCCGCTGCTATAAGTATTACGACATGACAGGAGTGGTCTAACATGAACGGACACCTCCTTTAAACACCGCTCCTGTCATATCGTAATACGTATAGCAGGAGCGGATCCACAGGGATGTGTTTGTGTGTGTGCGTGCGTGCGCGCCTGTCTGTGTGTGCGTCAACACTTGTAATGAACTGTTCAACACTTGTAGTGTAGTATTTAACACGTGTAATATACTATGCAACAACTTCAACATCATTAAATTTTCGGGGAGAAGGGTGGGGGTTGGGTGGTTGGGCACTAACTCACTAACTCACTCGCAATTTAGAGTGTGTACGTCTCCTGTTCATACACAGAAAAACTAACACTTGCATGTGCCAACGACTACGTCGACGGCGAATTATCTCAAGATAAGGACAAAGAATACGTTGTGTTCAAATTGCTGTAGTGGGTTGTGAAATATACGACTACTGCAGCGCGGTGACTGCTCCAAGTAAGGTCAAGCAAAAGGCGTCTCCTTATCAAAACAGTTGTGTGTGGGTGTGCCGTTAAAAGGCCAGAAGAAGATAGGTCGAATATGCGATTAACTCACACTCGGATCCTGGGAGTGAGTTCAGTTTTACGCTGCTTTTCCAGCAATCTCACCAGAAATGGCCTTCACACACTATATCCATGGGAAATCGAACCCGGGTCTTCGGCGTGACGATCGAACGCTTTAACCACTGGGCTACCCCACCGCACAACTAAAGGGAATTACTTCACATCCAGCTGCAACTTCGCTTAATATCTTGAAGTCATGATTGCTTTTGAATCTGAAATTCCTTTATTCTGTTGACGCCATACATGCACAAGTAAGCTTTTGAATTGAAGAACAGTTAATATTGCAAAAGAAATTGAAGAATTTTCCATATATATTTCCTTCAGTACATAAGCATCACTCAGATATTACAAGCTCTTGGTGATTCATTAAAAATCAGATCTTAAGTCTCTCTACTCTAAACAAGATTTGATGACAACCCATTACGAGTCACTCCAGAACGATCTTTCGGAAACCTCGGAAGAAAGGTCTTACTCGAGTCCTAATAGGTTGTCCTCTGATCTTTCCGTCTCGGCGATACGTACGGTCTGAATGTCCTGAGACGGACCCAATAGATAGGTTGGACTGACTGACTGAGTATGGTTTTACGCCGTTCATAGCAATATTCCAGCAATATCACGGAGGGGGACACCAGAAAAGGGCATCACAAATTGTACCCAATTTGGGGATTCGAACCCGGGAGATAAGTTGGATATGCCTTTGGACTTGGTTGATAGCAATATCATTCACGGAGACCTGGTAAGTTGGATATCGCACAAAATGCAAAGCCCGGTAGCAATATCCAAGGAAAACGTTCTTTTTTTGTTGTCTATCGAAAAATAACAATCCCTTAAACCTTGTAATTATCCTGTCAAAACGAATCATTTTCAACTTTAGAAAGAATAACTACCCGCCAACATTCCAGTTTATACAGAAGGAGCTCACTGAATTTTATAAGTTAACAAAGTATACCTCTGTCATTACTTGTAATAGAGACTACATCAATAAGGTCTGGTCAAACTGCCATGCTGTATTCTCCTAAATACACTTTCATGCAAAACCGTGTAAATGCTTAGAATAAATAAACAAATTATAAATGGATAAAATATCATATTATAAAATGTCATTCACGGGATCTTCTGGCCCAGACCAACAGGCAAGTACATGTATTACAAAGATATATTTTTGATATCCACGTATGGGATATTTACCAACAATTGCTGACATTTTCTGACATTGGCAGCTGGCAAACAAAACCCAACCGCACGGTGCACTTGGCGTCATGCCAGCGTCTGTTCACTTCACCAAAGCTGCGAATCATTAAACAGTTTTGTATGGTATTGCCCACTGCTGGTTCTCCGATGTCCCAAAAGTACTGGTTGATCTTAGAACCATTTGACCACACCCATATCCCGTCCTGTTGTTCGTCAGATCCGTCCATCCAGATGTTTGTACCTGGAAAACAGAACGTGTGTGAACAGACATTTTCTCCAATACCCCATTCTTCCCCAAATTAAATAAATTCGCTAAATAGAGTATAATATCGTCAGAACCAAAGTGGCTGAGGGGTAGCCTAGTGGTTGAAGCGTTCACTCATCACGCCGAAGACCCGGGTTCGATTCCCCACATGGAAGACACATGCACACTGAACGTATCGGTGACAAAGTTATGTCCGATGCAAATCCCTGGCTAGACTTGTACCTATGTTTCCATGTCTCTTTTGGCGGGCAGTTGACTTGCATTTGCGTCAGCGTTCGAAATAACCGCCGGCCCGGAGGCCAGCGCCGGTTGTTATTGTATCGGTCCGGCAGTTTCAAATACTTGCAGGCCCTTGTGACCTTCAGTAAATTATCTGTTTTTCGACTGGAATCTTTCCCAATTTTTTTTCTTTATTAACGTTCGGGATTCCATGATCCATCATGTTACGATAACTTACACCCGTGAAGGTCCGGGTTAGAATGAACCTTCAGTAACCCATGCTTGTCGTAAGAGGCGACTAACGGGATCGGGTGGTCAGGCTCGCTGGCTTGGTTGACACATGTCATCTGTTCCCAATTGCGCAGATCGATGTTTATGCTGTTGATCACTGGATTGACTGATCCAGACTCGATTATTTACAGCTGGCATATTGCTGAGTGCGGCGTAAAACTAAACTTACTCACTCACTACAATAACTTACAGCTTCACTTCCTGGTATTTCAGCTTTAACAAACAAAAACTTCGATGTGTGTCATAGGCTTCGCTAATTGATTTTGTAGAAACAGTGTGAAACTGTGTACAATGTAGTCTATTTTGTTTTTATTTATTTGCCATGTGCATCCTCCATTTCCTGCAATATTCCTCATTATATACACGCGGAAAAAGGTCTCACAACACCTATTTAGGTGATTATGTTTGTTTGTATTTATTACTTATACACCTGCAGAAATTACTTATTTATATAAAACACACACACAAATATATTGTGTGAGCTTTATGAAATATATGAACAAATATGCTATATTATGTGACATATGATACATGCATGTTGTTATATTGACTGAATAAATATATTGTCTACTATATATATCACACTCTGTTTTAATTAGTTTGTTAATTCGAGAACACTGGGAGTGAAGTCACTCATGTAGAACATCACCTCCCTTTTCCCGGACTGTCGACAAGTATTTTGGACGGATTATTTCTTGTTGTCGACAGTCCGGGCATAAACCGAATTATCTTGACCCTTCATTGACCTTAGATGCACGCGCTACGATCAAAGGCTAACATCACGTGCAATACGTGTAATCGTCGTGAAGCAAATATCAAGTTTCAGTTAACTTTTCCTACAGTTCGATGACTTGGAAAATCGTTGTTGACAAGCATATAATGGGCCCCCTGAAAAGACAACTGCTGACTTATTGACATGCGGAATGCTGGCATGTCATTCAGGGATATTGACATGTGCGGAATGCTTGCATGTCATTCAGGGATATTGCGTGCGGAATACTGGCATGTCATTCAGGGATATTGACATGCAGGATGCTGGCATGTCATTCAGGGATATTGACATGTGGAATGCTGGCATGTCATTCAGGGATATTGACATGTGGAATGCTGGCATGTCACTCAGGGATATTGACATGTGGAATGCTGGCATGTCACTCAGGGATATTGACATGTGGAATGCTGGCATGTCATTCAGGGATATTGACATGCGGAATGCTGGCATGTCATTCAGGGATATTGACATGTGGAATGCTGGCATGCCATTCAAGGATATTGACATGTGGAATGCTGGCATTTCATTCAAGGATATTGACATGCGGAATGCTGGCATGTAGTTCATATAGTTCAAAGCATAACAAAGTTGACAGGCTGAATATCAACAACACCTAATACACACCTCAACCCAAGTAGTTCGATCGGGAATGTGAACAACTTAAACGATATAAGTATAAGCTTTTGAATAAATTTAGAAAAACAAATAACATTGTGCATTGTAGAAAATACCTTGAAGTTAAAAAACAGTTCCAGAAGTGGTGTAGTGAAAAGAAAGCTGAATATGATAAAGATATACTTGATGACATTATTGATGCAGCGAACGATAAGAATTGTACACGATTTTGGAGAGCAATCAAAAGATATTGCTATGATAGTGTTTGCTCACACGTTATTTCACCTGAGGCGTGGCATGAATATTTTCAACAACTTCTAAACCCTGATAACGCAAATAATGACATTGCTGAACATATTTCTGATTTCTTGTCTAGTCACAATATGGACGATTGTGAATTTTGTAATAAGAGTGATATTGAAATTGCCAGCTGTATAAGTGATCAGGAAATTATCAATGCTATTAATGTGGTAAGGCACCGGGGGAGGATGGTGTATACCCGCCGAGTCAATTAAGGAGGTTTCTATAGTTTTGCTGCCTTTGCTAAATAGACTATTTAACCAAATCCTTGAGACGGGATGTTTCCCGTCTTATTGGAACTTAGGACTAATAGTCTGGTGTAAAGAATGATCCAGGGAATTACCGAGGTATCTCAATACTAGACACAATAAGTAAAGTATTTCTCTCCATTATAAATGACCGTATACAGTCGTGGGTAGAAACACAACGCCTTATCTCTGAATCACAAGCTGGTTTTAGAGAGGGATATTCCACCAGTGACCAAACATTTATTTTACATTCAGTTATCCATAAATTTATTAGAAAAAAGAGAGGTAAATTCTAATGTATATTTGTAGATTTCCAAAAAGCGTTTGATTCAGTGAACAGGAGCAACTTGCTCTACTTGTTGTTGCAAAGAGGTATTCATGGTAAAGTCCATAAACGCTTAACAATTATTTACAAGAACGTAAAGGCTTCAGTTCTGTGTAGTAAAACAACTATGACTGGCATGTTCAATACATCATGTGGAGTGAGACAAGGTTGTATATTGTCACCAGTATTGTTTATAATGACATTGGATATTGATGAACTTGTAAATGAAATAATAAAATCTGACGACAGTGGCATATTTATTGATGAATCCCTAAAAACATTATCAATATTGCATTTTGCTGATGATGTATCTATATTTGCAGATTCTGTTATCAATCTCCAAAAGAAAATAGATATTTTGGTAAGATACTGTAAGAAATGGGGATTAACTATAAACAAGAATAAAACCAAAGTTGTTGTTTTTAAAAAGGGAGGCGTTGTTTCGAAATATCAGAAAAGGTTTATTAATGGACAGTCCATTGAAACTACATCTTATTATAAGTATCTTGGTTTTGTATTTTCCTGCAGAAACATGTTTTCAAAAGCATGTGAGACACTTTCCCAACAAGCAGAAAAGGCACTTTACCCAATTAAACGTTTTATCAACAAGATACAAAATCTGCTAATGATGGCAAGATTAAGCCTGTACTTTTATATGGAGCTGAGCTTTGGGGATGGGAAAAACGTAAAATTGAAAAGGTTCATGCAAGTTTTTGTAAATATGTATCACAGATTGGTTCTAGGGCATCAAGTAAAGCAGCTCTGGCAGAATGCGGTAGTTATCCTATTGAAATATATGCCTATATTAGCCTTCTGTCGTTTAGGAGGAGGATTTTACGTCAACCGCCATATAGATATACAAAGAAATGTTATGAAATGTTAAAAAGACTAGATGATAATGGGGATGGTATCAAAAGTGAGAATGTTATTATTTAGATACGGTTTCGGTTATGTATGGATAGCACAAGATGTTGGTAACGAGAAATGTCTTCTGGAGAATTTTAAACAGCGTTGCAAAAATATTTATTATCAAGAGTGGCATCAATATATAGTTTTTTTCCGAATCCTTGACGTTCTATTCAACCATAATGCTTGGAAAATATCTTGTAACTATTACTTCAAAAGATTTACGGAGATGTTTGACAAAACGTCGTTGTAATGTACACGATTTTAATGTTAATTCGTGTAGATACTCCAAAAACTATGAAGCTGTGTTTTGTAGTTACTGTGTGACTGAACTAGAAGATGAATTCCATGTGACATTAGTATGCTCTCTTTACAATAAGTATAGATATTCGTGTAGATACTCCAAAAACTATGAAGCTGTGTTTTGTAGTTCCTGTGTGACTGAACTAGAAGATGAATTCCATGTTACATTAGTATGCTCTCTTTACAATAAGTATAGATATTCGTGTAGATACTCCAAAAACTATGAAGCTGTGTTTTGTAGTTCCTGTGTGACTGAACTAGAAGATGAATTCCATGTTACATTAGTATGCTCTCTTTACAATAAGTATCGTGCTAAATATTTACCTGAATACTGTCGTAATTACCCTCATGTCCACATGTTTATTGAATTGATGAGAACAAGCGATAAGAATACACTATTAGGACTTTGTATCTTTCTTCAAAAAGTGTTTGTACTTCGATCAAAACAAAAATCTCTGTGAACACATAATTGTAACAACTGTAATAAGATCTACATTCCCAGTGTGGCGCACCTGCATATCTTTACCTTACTGTTTTACACATGTTGTACTGTTGGCCTCATGGCCATATATACGTAATAAAGGATGATCAAACCCCATTTCAGCTCACCCTTTTTATAATTTGTTGTTTACGCCGCAGCAGGCAGCTACGTGACGGCGGTCTGTATATAACCGAGTCTGGATCAGACAATCCAGTGATCGACATCTTAGCATCGGTCTACACACGTTCCTTGGTAGTTGCTGGTGATTTATACAAGCATTTTATGTCGTTGATTGACACTTGCATTTGAAATAAATATAAATATTGCTCGTCGCACTTCTGGCAAAGACAATGCCGGTGGGACCTAATTCTTAACGCATTCACTCTGACATATGTTGTACAGACCCTTGGTTTCTGCGAGAGTGGTAAGGAACTCGTTCTTGTCCGCGTTGTCGACTCTGATGAGGTGGCCCTTGTCAGTCTCGCACGTGGTGGCCGCGAGGTTCCAAGTCACCCGTGTCTTGTCCAGCTTGTAGCACAGGTTCAGACGTCGGTTCCATGTGTAGCCATTGTCACAGGTCACTACAAACAAGTTATGAACTGTCATAAACACTGTGGGACATAGCATAGTGAAGCACACATCATCGACTACCGACTTAGGCGTAAATTCATGTTGGAACTGGTCTTCAGCAAACCATGCTTGTCAGAAGAGGCGACTAACGGATCGTGTAGTCATGCTAGCAGACATTCGTGGTACTCGTGTTATTCCGGGACTAGCCGAATCGTCTTGGAGGTTACGGAAAGGGGCGAGTGGTGACGAATGTGCACCAGTCTGCGAGTCATTCGTCACCACTCGCCCCTTTTTCGTACCCTTCAAGAAATTCGGCTTGTCCCGGAATAACACGAGTTGGTCATGAATGCGTGTCCCAATGCAAATCACTGAACAACAACAACAGCAGCAGCAGCAGCAGCAGCAGCAGCAGCAGCAGCAGCAACAACAACAACAACAAACAAAAACAAAACACACACTCTAGAAACGATTCTTTGTACAGATACAGATAACTATCGAATTCTTGCCGTTGTATGTTTGTGTGAGGCTGTCCTGTTCTATTCAGCAGAATGGCGATGGCATGTACATACACCACACAATCCAGTAAATGATATCTTGAGCGCTTAGTCGCGCTTACGACAAGGGTTCTTGGAGACCAGTCCCCACCCCAACCCACATCACGCCCCATACCTCCATGGGTTCTTGGAGACCAGTCCCCTACCCAACCCACATCACGCCCCATACCTCCATGGGTTCTTGGAGACCAGTCCCCACCCCAACCCACATCACGCCCCATACCTCCATGGGTTCTTGGAGACCAGTCCCCACCCCAACCCACATCACGCCCCATACCTCCATGGGTTCTTGGAGACCAGTCCCCACCCCAACCCACATCACGCCCCATACCTCCATGGGTTCCTGGAGACCAGTCCCCTACCCAACCTACATCACACCCCGTACCTCCATGGGTTCCTGTAGACCAGTCCCCTACCCAACCCACATCACCCCCCGTACCTCCATGGGTTCCTGGAGACCAGTCCCCTACCCAACCCACATCACGCCCCATACCTCCATGGGTTCCTGGAGAACAGTCCCCTACCCAACCCACATCACCCCCAGCACCTCCATGGTTCCTGGAGACCAGTCCCCTACCCAACCCACATCACACCCCGTACCTCCATGGGTTCCTGTAGACCAGTCCCCTACCCAACCCACTTCACCCCCAGCACCTCCATGGGTTCCTGGAGACCAGTCCCCTACAGAACCCACATCACGCCCCATACCTCAATGGGTTCCTGGAGACCAGTCCCCTACCCAACCCACATCACGCCCCATACCTCCATCGGTTCCTGGAGACCAGTCCCCTACCCAACCCACATCACCCCCAGTACCTCCATGGGTTCTTGGAGACCAGTCCCCACCCCAACCCACATCAGGCCCATACCTCCATGGGTTCCTGGAGACCAGTCCCCTACCCAAACCACATCACGCCCCATACCTCCATCGGTTCCTGGAGAACAGTCCCCACCCCAACCCACATCATCCCCCGTACCTCCATGGGTTCCTGGAGACCAGTCCCCTACCCAACCCACACCACGCCCCATACCTCCATCGGTTCCTGGAGACCAGTCCCCTACAAAACCCACATCACCCCCAGCACTTCCATGGGTTCCTGGAGACCAGTCCCCTACCCAACCCACATCGTGCCCCATACCTCCATGGGTTCCTGGAGACCAGTCCCCTACCCAACCCACATCACGCCCCATACCTCCATGGGTTCTTGGAGACCAGTCCCCACCCCAACCCACATCACCCCCCGTACCTCCATGGGTTCCTGGAGACCAGTCCCCTACCCAACCCACATCACGCCCCATACCTCCATCGGTTCCTGTAGACCAGTCCCCTACCCAACCCACATCACCCCCAGCACCTCCATGGGTTCCTGGAGACCAGTCCCCTACAGAACCCACATCACGCCCCATACCTCCATGGGTTCCTGGAGACCAGTCCCCTACCCAACCCACATCACGCCCGATACCTCCATGGGTTCCTGGAGACCAGTCCCCTACCCAACCCACATCACCCCCAGCACCTCCATGGGTTCCTGGAGACCAGTCCCCTACAGAACCCACATCACGCCCCATACCTCCATGGGTTCCTGGAGACCAGTCCCCTACCCAACCCACATCACCCCCCGTACCTCCATGGGTTCCTGGAGACAAGTCCACTACCCAACCCACATCACGCCCCATACCTTCATCGGTTCCTGGAGACCAGTCCCCACCCCAACCCACATCACGCCCCATACCTCCATGGGTTCCTGGAGACCAGTCCCCTACCCAACCCACATCACACCCCGTACCTCCATGGGTTCCTGGAGACCAGTCCCCTACCCAACCCACACCACGCCCCATACCTCCATGGGTTCTTGGAGACCAGTCCCCACCCCAACCCACATCACACCCCGTACCTCCATGGGTTCCTGGAGACCAGTCCCCTACAGAACCCACATCACGCCCCATACCTCAATGGGTTCCTGGAGACCAGTCCCCTACCCAACCCACATCACGCCCCATACCTCCATCGGTTCCTGGACACCAGTCCCCTACCCAACCAACATCACCCCCAGCACCTCAATGGGTTCCTGGAGACCAGTCCCCTACAGAACCCACATCACGCCCCATACCTCCATGGGTTCCTGGAGACCAGTCCCCTACCCAACCCACATCACCCCCAGTACCTCCATGGGTTCTTGGAGACCAGTCCCCACCCCAACCCACATCAGGCCCATACCTCCATGGGTTCCTGGAGACCAGTCCCCTACCCAACCTGGGACCGGTCCTATCCACCCTCCGCATCACGCCCCATACCTCCATGGGTTCCTGGAGAACAGTCCCCACCCCAACCCACATCATCCCCCGTACCTTCATGGGTTCCTGGAGACCAGTCCCCTACCCAACCCACATCACGCCCCATACCTCCATGGGTTCCTGGAGACCAGTCCCCTACAAAACCCACATCACCCCCAGCACCTCCATGGGTTCCTGGAGACCAGTCCCCTACCCAACCCACATCGCGCCCCATACCTCCATGGGTTCCTGGAGACCAGTCCCCTACCCAACCCACATCACGCCCCATACCTCCATGGGTTCCTGGAGACCAGTCCCCACCCCAACCCACATCACCCCCCGTACCTCCATGGGTTCCTGGAGACCAGTCCCCTACCCAACCCACATCACACCCCATACCTCCATCGGTTCCTGTAGACCAGTCCCCTACCCAACCCACATCACCCCCAGCACCTCCATGGGTTCCTGGAGACCAGTCCCCTACCCAACCCACATCACGCCCCATACCTCCATGGGTTCCTGGAGACCAGTCCCCTACCCAACCCACATCACGCCCAGCACCTCCACGGGTTCCTGGAGACCAGTCCCATACAGAACCCACATCACGCCCCATACCTTCATGGGTTCCTGGAGACCAGTCTCCTACCCAACCCACATCACCCCCGTACCTCCATGGGTTCCTGGAGACCAGTCCCCAACCCAACCCACATCACCCCCCGTACCTCTATGGGTTCCTGGAAACCAGTCCCCTACCCAACCCACACCACCCCGTACCTCCATGGGTTCCTGGAGACAAGTCCACTACCCAACCCACATCACGCCCCATACCTTCATCGGTTCCTGGAGACCAGTCCCCACCCCCAACCCACATCACGCGCCATACCTCCATGGGTTCCTGGAGACCAGTCCCCTACCCAACCCACATCACACCCTGTACCTCCATGGGTTCCTGGAGACCAGTCCCCTACCCAACCCACACCACGCCCCATACCTCCATGGGTTCTTGTTCCTGGAGACCAGTCCCCTACCCAACCCATCATCACCCCTTAGTACCTCCATGGGTTCTTGGAGACCAGTCCCCATGGGTTCCCACATCAGGCCCATACCTCCATGGGTTCCTGGAGACCAGTCCCCTACCCAACCCCACATCACGCCCCATACCTCCATCGGTTCCTGGAGAACAGTCCCCACCCCAACCCACATCATCCCCTGTACCTCTTCATGGGTTCCTGGAGACCAGTCCCTACCCAACCCACATCACCCCCAGCACCTCCATGGGTTCCTGGAGACCAGTCCCCTACCCAACCCCATCACGCCCCATACCTCCATGGGTTCCTGGAGACCAGTCCCTACCCAACCCACATCACGCCCAGTACCTCCATGGGTTCCTGGAGACCAGTCCCATACAGAACCCACATCACTCCCCCATACCTCCATGGGTTCCTGGAGACCAGTCCCTACCCAACCCACATCACCCCCTGTACCTCCATGGGTTCCTGGAGACCAGTCCCCAACCCAACCCACTTCACCCCTGTACCTCTCATGGGTTCCTGGAAACCAGTCCCCTACCCAACCCACATCACCCCCGTACCTCCATGGGTTCCTGGAGACCAGTCCCCTACCCAACCCACATCACGCCCCATACCTCCATCGGTTCCTGGAGACCAGTCCCCACCCCAACCCACATCACGCGCCATACCTCCATGGGGTTCCTGGAGACCAGTCCCCTACCCAACCCACATCACACCCCTTGTACCTCCATGGGTTCCTGGAGACCAGTCCCCTACCCAACCCACACCACGCCCCATACTCTCCATGGGTTCCTGGAGACCAGTCCCCTACCCCAACCCACATCACCCCCAGTACCTCCATGGGTTCCTGGAGACCAGTCCCCACCCCAACCCACATCACGGCCCATGGGTTCCATGGGTTCCTGGAGACCAGTCCCCTACCTCCAACCCACCATCACGCCCCATACCTCCATCGGTTCCTGGAGAACAGTCCCCACCCCAACCCACATCATCCCCCGTACCTTCATGGGTTCCTGGAGACCAGTCCCCTACCCAACCCACATCACGACCCATACCTCCATGGGTTCCTGGAGACCAGTCCCCTACAAAACCCACATCACCCCAGCACTTCCATGGGTTCCTGGAGACCAGTCCCCTACCCAACCCACATCAAGTGCCCCATACCTCCATGGGTTCCTGGAGACCAGTCCCCTACCCAACCCACATCACGCCCCATACCTCCATGGGTTCCTGGAGACCAGTCCCCACCCCAACCCACATCACTGTACCCCTGTACCTCCATGGGTTCCTGGAGACCAGTCCCTAC